CCCTGTCTCTCAAAACTGGGTAGTGTATTAGGCCAGTGTTTCTAAATTAGGCAGATTAGGTGGTCGCCTATTGCCTTGTGCTCACAGGGGCCACCTAATTTGCCTAATGCAGTGTTTCTCAACCGGGGTTTTGTGGTAATCTACCTGTCAGTCACAGACAGCTGACATGTAGATTGCATGGACACAGGTGCAAGGAAGCGGCTTGCATACTATTGGCTGTAGCGCACTGTTCCCCACCAGTCCCTCCTCCCTCCCTCCTATCCTGTCCATCCCAGATGATGTCACATTCAATCAACCGGGATGTACTAGAGGGGAGTAGGGGCCGGCGGGGAACAGCCAATAGTATGCCAGTCACTTTCCTGCACCTGTGTCCATGCAATCTACCTGTCAACTGTCTGCGACTTACAGGTAGATTGCCACAAAACCCTGGTAGAAAAACACTGAATAAGGAAAATTAGGTGGCCACGAGGCCCCTGTGAGCACAAGGCCATAGGGACCATCTAATTTGCCTAATTAAAGAGCCACCTCTGTCTGAAAGGGTGGATATCTGGTTACTGAGATGTCCCTAATATTTACTCACGTAACCTCCGTTCCTCAAATTCTGTTCTTTCTGGAACAACCTGCTAAAGAGCCCACATATTCAATATACTGTATATAAATTGTCAACTCAAACAAATATAGTGTCCCTTCACAGGTAGCCTGTCTATAGATGGCAAGATAGCACTATACTTGAGATTCAGTCTAACCTGAAAAATCTAGGGGTGATATTTGATGCTAGTCTAACCTTTGATCCACATGTACAAAATGTTGCCAGAACATCTTTTTTTCCGCTTGAGAAACATTGCTTGGCTGTGACCTATGCTATCATATGCAGTATCTGAAAAACTGATCCATAGAATTGTGTTCTCCCGACTTGACTATTGCAATGCTCCACTCGCTGGTGTACCTAAATCCACTATTATTCAACTTTAATATGAACAAAATTCTGAAGCCAGAATCCTAGGTCTGGTACAAGTAATCATATTACCCCTATAATGGAGCCCTTGCACTGGCTACCTATCAGGTTACGCATAGACTTTAAGAACCTCTTGTTCACCTATTAGGCTCTTCATGGCTTTGCACCCCTTTATCTTTTTTCAACTTACTTCCCCTCTTATAACCTCCGTTCCTCAAATTCTGTTCTTTCTAAAGAGCCCACATCTTCAATATACTGTATACTCTTCATGGCTTTGCACCCCATTATCTTTTTTCAACTTACTTCCCCTCTTGTAACCTCCGTTCCTTAAAATTCTGTTCTTGCTGGAACAACCTGCTAAAGAGCCCACATCTTCAATATACTGTATACTCTTCATGGCTTTGCACCCCATTATTTTTTTCAACTTACTTCCCCTCTTATAACCTCCGTTCCTCAAATTCTGCTCTTTCTAAAGAGCCCACATCTTCAATATACTGTATACTCTTCATGGCTTTGCACCCCATTATCTTTTTTCAACTTACTTCCCCTCTTGTAACCTCCAATCCTCAAATTCTGTTCTTGCTGGAACAACCTGCTAAAGAGCCCACATCTTCAATATACTGTATATAAATTGTCGACTCAAACAAAATATAGTGTCCCTTCACATTACCAGCTTCAATACAGCTCTGTAACACATTCTTAGATTTTGTCTCTTCTAAAATTGACAAGATAAGGCATCAAATTCTTACCGCACCACATATTTCTTCAATATCATTTCCTGACTTACCCAGTTTTACTGGTTCTTCTCTCACCCACTTCTCTCTACTTGACTCTGCATCTCTGATTAAATTGATTACTAATTTGAAATCTTCCACCTACATACTTGATCCTATTCCCATGCATTTATTTAAATCATGTTTTAGTTCTCTATGCCCCATTATTTCTCAATATTGTAAATGACTCCCCATTATTTCTCAATATCGTAAAGCACCGGTTTTGTATCAACAATCCTCAAAACTTCTGCCAACTCAAAAAAAAAAAACTCAAAATGGCTCTGGACAATTTAAACAACTTTTGCCCCATATTAAGCTTACCCTTCCTTGCCAAGATCCTTAAGCAGGCTGTGATATCTCAGTTACATAAACACATGAATTTAGTCTGATGTTGACTGATGTCCAGTCAAGTACGGTGTCCCTCAGGGCTTTTTAGAACTTTTTAGAACTTTGCATGCTTCCACTTGGCTAACTGCTTAGACCACATATGCTCTATTATCACTATGCTGATGACACTCAGCTATACATCACACTAAACCGGATTTTACTTTGGCTGCTTCTCTCCTATCTAACTGTATTTGTGATATAAAAACTTGGATGGACCACAATTTCCTTCAATTAAATTGTGACAAGACTGAAGTCATGCTTATTGGCACCTATTATCAATTATGTAAGGCCAGTCATGGTAGCCTGTCTATAGATGGCAAGATGGCACTATACTTGAGATTCAGTCTAAACTGAAAAATCTAGAGGTGATATTTGATGCTAGTCTAACCTTTGATCCACATGTACAAAATGTTGCCAGAACATCTTTTTTCCACTTGAGAAACATTGCTTGGCTGTGACCTATGCTATCATATGCTGTAGCTGAAAAACTGATCCATAGAATTGTGTTCTCCCGACTTGACTATTGCAATGCTGCACTTGCTGGTGTACCGAAATACACTATTAATCAACTTTAATATAAACAAAATTCTGCAGCCAGAATCCTAGGTCTGGTACAAGTAATCATATTACCCCTATAATGGAGCCCTTGCACTGGCTACCTATCAGGTTACCTATCAGACTTTAAGATCCTCTTGTTCCCCTTTTAGGCTCTTCATGACTTTGCACCCCATTATCTTTTTTCAACTTACTTCCCCTCTTGTAACCTATATTCCTCGAATTCTGTTCTTTTGTGTGTACTACCCTACTAACCTACACTTGATGGGAGACAGAGCCTTCTCCTGCTATGCTCCAAAACTCTGGAATTCACTTCCAAAGAACATGAAAGAGTCATCTTCTCTAATCTCATTTAAATCAAATCTAAAAAAACATTTTTTCTTTAGACAAGCTTTATATTTTTATCCTGGGTATTTCTTCTGTTTTCTTTGTAAAGTGCTTTGAGAAGCTACTTTTAAAGGTGCTATATAAAATAAAGATTATTATTATTATAGAGATAGGTACACTCAACAACTCTACAACAGTATGTCCACTATTTCTGCGGGAGCTGGCAATTTTCATCAATAAATATGAAATTAGTTTTTGTGGACACAGAAAATAACCTTTATACTGATTTGCTTCTATTATTAGGAGGCATATTTGTAGGCAGAGAGTAGGCCAATTCCAGCTAAAAATATTACATAAAACTGTAATTCTATAAAACACAGATTATAAAAATTGTTTGGATTTGCTGAGCAGAATATCATCCTTTATCATTCATTAACAGATAGTCTTCATCCAGAAATATTGCATGAAACTGTATTCTCTCGGATACAGATTATAAAAGTTTTACAGATTTGCTGAACAGAATACTATCATTTTAAATAATCATAAGCAGAGGGTGCCAATTTTAGCCATAAATATTACGAGACTGTATTTTTTACATAGCTTCTAAACATTCTACAGATTTGCTGTATAGAAGGAGTCAATCTTGGAGACAGAGAGTTGATTTGTTTTAGCCAGAAATGATAAATTAACTGCATTTTTTTTAAAGACACTTTATAAAAAAGTACAGATTTGCTGAACAGAATCTCATACTTTTTAATGTGAGAGAACTTTGGAGAGTATGCATATTTTAGCATGAAAAATTAAATGAAACTGATTTTTTTTCAGCTGTTTATAAAAATGGTATGAATTTGCTAAAGATAATTTCATATTTTATAACAGGAGGCAACATTGGAGGTGTAGAAGTGGTATAAAAATTTCAGTCTGATAAATTGACTCAAACTGTATATCTTTCTAAATATACTCACTATATAAAAGATAAATAAATTTTCTGAATAGAATATCATCTTCCTTGATTTCATGAGGCAAAATTTGAAACATAATCAGTGGTGATATTTGTATGCTGTCTAACCTTTGATCCACAGCTGTATAAAAAAGTGTTTGTGGCAGAGTGTATTCATAGGGATTTTGGCAAAAGTGGCAGGAGGTGGTAAACATTGACTTGGCTGTGAAAGGAGAGGCTTGCATTGTACACTAAAACAATATTTTTTTTGGGGCCACAATCCAAAACACTTTTTAATCTGTAGTATCTGCAACAAGGGCTTGGCAGCTGTTTTTAATCTAGGATTGGTTCATTTTCACAAAATTCAGCCAGTTAGCTGTGTCTGGTGGCAGACAGGCTTTTTTTTTCTGTAACCCCCCTGCATCATATCCCCAGTAGTTGAGGAGCTCATATATTCAGAGGGTGTCAACATCCACCCTTGACTCAGTGTAATTTGCCACCATATGATTTATAACTGGCAGCAGACAGCCCTAGAAGAAGAACGTGTTTAAAACCTTCCTTAGGTGCCACCACTACTCCTCCTTTCACGAACAGGAAAAGCAGCCCCTTCATAAAGTCAGTGATGAAATATGCATAGGAGCAGAGCTAACGCTGTTGGTATGAAACTGTTGTTGGGAAACGAATGAGTTTGTAGAGCGGCTGACTATATGCTGTAGGTGGATCAGTATCTAGTGAGAAGCTTCATAGTTTTATGGTATTACACTACTGGGATTATTTTATTTTTAAAACAAATCTGGTGTATATACAGAGGAAAAAATTAGAGATTCATTGCCTAATGGAGAGACAAAAGCAATGTGCATACTCATAATTTAGATGGGGCACAGAGAAGATGATTCTGAAGAATACTGCAACAGCAAGCTTCTAGTGGTTTCTCCTTTTAGAAGCATTATTTGTTTTAGATTGCCATAGTGGGAGAAAAGTTCACAATCCAATATTCTCAAAATATTTTGTTTCTGTTTTATCTAAGCTTGCAAAGAAATTTGGCTCAGTGTTTAGTGTTCAAATGGGTACAAGAAAAATTGTTGTATTGGCTGGATATGAGGCCGTGAAAGATGCACTCGTCAATTACGCTGAAGAGTTTGGAGGAAGAGGGAAAACTAGAATATTCCAAAATATGGACAAAGATTTTGGTGAGTCAGTTTTTTGACAAATATACTCTAAAGCTGATCTCCAGGCATATATAAACAAAAATGAATGCAGCTCTGTATTCAATAATACTTTAATCCTTAAAGGGTAGCTCCACTTTCTTGAGAAAAAAAAAAAAAAAAAAAAAAAAAAAAGCAAAAACAATATAGCTTATAGAGTTACGACTCAAGTAACTCTATGGAATAGAGTAATGGAATGTTATTAAAAATTACTGTTCCTTTTCAATCTGCAGTGCTGTTTTTTTGTAAAATGCAATGCATTGCATTTTATACAGAACGCCCCCTGAAAATGTCATTTCCTGCTGGTATGAGAAGTCTGCACTTAGATACACCTCAGATTTCAGGAGCACCTGCAGGTTCAGAATCTGACTGATAATTATAAAACCGCTCCCATACATATTCACTCTGCACCTGGACACAGACAAACACACATCTATTTTTTCAGAATAACAAAAGGTAGGAATCTGCAACAAAGTTTGTTAAAAATCCCTGCAATGTACACAGGTCACAGAGGGGAAAGTGTTTTTTTAATTGAGCACTATAATGATAAAGGAATGTACAAGGCACAGTGTGAAATTATAAAAATGGAGAAGAAACACAAATAGACTTTTTCAGAATGTGGGATGTTTTTATTAGTAATATTGTATATATAAGATTGTAATGCAGTCTTTTGTTGATGCACAATTTTGAAAATTACACAACATTTTATTCATATGGAGTGTTTTTCATGCAGGGAGAAAATCTCCAAAACATAATATAAACTACACACATACATACAGTGTCTGCTGTAAAGGTACATTCTCACTATGTTGAATTTCTCAGGACTTATTCACTCACGTGGTGAAAACTGGAAGGTGATGAGAAGATTTACTCTGACCACCTTGCGTGATTTCGGAATGGGGAAAAGTTCTATTGAAGAGAAGATTATTGAAGAATGTTCTTACCTAATTAAACGTTTTGAATCGTTAAAAGGTAAAAGTTGATTTATTTCGCACAGGGACAATTCAGTTTCTCAGTCCAACATTATTATTATTCTTTATTTCAGGTACTTATATAGCGCCGTCAATTTACGCAGCGCTTTACACACATATATATATATTGTACATTCACATCAGTCCCTAACCCTCAAGGGGCGTACAATCTAAGGTTCCTAACTCACATTCATACATACACATACTAGGGACAATTTAGACAGGAGCCAATTAACCTACCAGCATGTCTTTGGAGTGTGGGAGGATATACTATGTTTTTAACTTTTGCTTTAAATTTTCATTATAGGAAAACCATTTAATAATACAATGATGGTAAATGCTGCAGTGGCTAATATCATAGTTTCAGTATTACTTGGACATCGAATGGACTATGAAGACCCTCAATTTGAGAGGCTTATGACTTTGACGAATGAAAATATAAGGCTTTTAGGAAGTCGGATGGTTGGGGTAATATATATATTTTGCAGTTTTCTGCTATTTAAATGTAGCATAAAATTTCACATAGAAAAGTATGACAAGCACCTCTGTAACAATCAGCGCTAAACTTTTGACATTTACTGATCGTTGCTCAGCACTGCATCTCACGTCTCTGCAGTCTATGCAATGTAAATCTGCTATAACTAGGGAATCTAAAATAGACTGATTGACTTTCATCCTGTGTCCTATCAACTGGTTAGTCTGTTTGCTCATGCCCTGTATTCAGGTTTATCTCACTTAGGGCTTCTTGACACGCATGTCAATACCATGTGTTTATAAGGCATTTATTCAGCATTTTTAAAGTTTCATAACCATCCTTCCATGCCAGCCATGAATATTACAATGGGCACCACACATTGATGTATACACAAGAATAGTAGCATTGTGTTGTATTAAAAATTAAGTAGCACATTGCTTTCATGAGGCACTGATGCTTGTCAGCCACCTCTGCTTACAACGGCATTGTTCTGTAACTGGAGAACCACATATGTATTTAAGCCAAGTAATAATGTAAAATTACATAAAACATATTACATATACAAGTTATGTGATGCCAGAATATGGTGTCACTGACACTGTCCCTAATATCCCATACAGCTGACTCTGTTCCCTAATACCCCATATTGCTTAACAGCATCTTGCAAGCATGGAATTTAAAGAATTTGCATTTTTATCATATCACCCTTGAAGTGAGATAAAATAAAAAGCCCTCCTCCAAACAGTATTCCATAAAACTCAAAACCTATATATAAAAGAAAAAAAAAAAGAGCGCTTGCTGCAAATAACATAGAAATAATACCAAGAAATTGTATACAGCAGCACTCAAGGACACATAGAAATACAAAAGTGTTAAGTGAATGACAACAAACTATGTTGCGCTGTAGCTTTAAATCATAATCCATCATCAATCTCCATCGAGTATGTGTAAATCCCACCAAATTGTGCAAATCATGCCAAGTACTAATTTAGATAAAGTCCACCGCTGAAGTTCATAACTTCTCTGTGATTTCCATTGAACTCTACCACCACACAAAAACACCAGCCTCTTACTGAGAAACAAGCCCCAAATTATAGAAGGTCTTGGGATGCTTAATAAAACAAATGTCTGTCAGCTGCATTCTCATGTATGGACCAGAGAACAGGAACCAGCAAAGATATAAATCACAAATCCTCCATAGTGTAAAACGGCATCATATATTTATTTATCATAAAACGTTACTCACAATGTTACAAGAGAGATATACAAAAGGACTGTCAGTCCAGGCTGCGTGATGATGGCAGCATTAGCCCCGGCCAATGCGCTTCATTGTAGGAGTTATGTCAAGAGGATAAACTCCCTAGTGCTAGAGCTTGGAAATATATAGATCAGTTCCTTCAAACATTGGTGAAAAGTACCCCTGCCTATTTGAAGGATACTAAGGATACCCTAAATATGTTAAAAACAGTTTTGGTAGATGATAGATGTTTGTGTGTCACCGCAGTGACACTTACATCTGCAAGGATGACATTTACATCTGCATCTGTCAACATCCATTTTTTGAGAAGGATCAAAGCCCTATTTTTGTTCTGTTAACAATTGTAATAGACAAAAAACGGATGTAAATAGACAAATGGTCTATTTTTGCATTGGTAGTGGATATTAAATAACTAATGCAAAAACTGATGGTAAATTGATGAGAAGCTGATGAAAACCTGATGAAAACTCTGATGAAAATCTGAACTTCATCCATTTTTTCTTTGAAAAAAGGTGACTGAACTGATGAAGCGAAGGTCTGCATGTGTGAAAGGAGCCTAACACTTCAGTAGTATAAATGCTCATTGTAGAAGTTTGATGATGTGCAGGACTACTTTGGGCAAGACTGTATAGAATGAAGAATTATCTACTAATAATACATATCAAACAGAAAATACTTGTTTAACCATGAGGCTACAAGTGTATTTATTGGACATGTGCAATTATATTGGTGGAAATAGCAGACACTTCCTGGTAAAGTAGTGAGCATTCATGAAAGGGTTCCATTTTTGAGTACAGTTCAACTAACATGTCAACTTCCTGGCCAAAGGTAGTTAACCTGTTATTGCCAATTTGAAGGGCTTCAGATATGTCTCCCAATGTTCTTCACCAGGCCTTCACTATTTCCTCTAGACATGTATGGCAACAATCAAAATCTTTACTTTAATATAAATCCTCTAAATGTTAGGGCTTGAAATAAAACAATTCTTGTCAAGTAAGTTTTGCATGCCAGAATCATAGTACTAATGTAGCACTACCTTTTTTGAGGGCCGCTAGATTTGTTTTGGATCTCCCTAAGCTCTGCATGGCCAGGCAGTTTACACATTTTCACATTCAAAGTCAGTAAACAGTCTGAGCTTTTTTTTTAGTTGTTTTTATTGAGGGGTTAGCAACTTGGATGAGGTCTAGGGATATATGGGATGCCCAAGTAACTGTAAACTTGAGGACAAATGTCTTAGAAATTATACTCTACAAAAAACATGGATCACCAAAAATAGAACTCAGTCTCAGTTAAGTCCTACTGGTGTACCTCCTTGGACCCCAGATGAATCCTTCCTCTTCACACAGCTTCACCGAAAGTAACCTTGGGTAAGGGTTCCCAAGAACTAACAATGAAGTAGTCCTGGATGAGAAATAGTTTGTTCTTGCACCTGACTGCCCTCTTCCCTTACCTGGCCCAGGTGTGTAGAAGTACTCACACTGTCCTGATAACTCAGTGGGTTAAAGGTGCTTTCAGGCCTTCCGCTGGGCTGGCTTCTTCCCAGCTGACAGGTTGTCCTCCCTTTGGAGACCATGGGACAGTGAAGATCCTTCTGTTTACCAATCAGCCTGTATGTAGGCTCCCCTCCCTAGGGCCCCCTCCCCTCCTCTGCCGCTCTTTCAGAAAGTTCTCAGAGTTTCTGGACGTTTGGGAGGGCTCCAGAAATCCTGAGCTGTAGAGACGCCCAGCTTGTCCTGAGGTTAGCTCTTGCCTCATTCCCAGGCTGACTCATCCCAGGCTGCTACCTACTAGAGGGAGTTACACTAAGTATATATTTAGCAATGGAATATTTCAGAGATACCACCAAGAGAGCATTGGAGGAGCACCAGCTGACGGTCATTATTTTAAGCATTCTCAAAACCTGAACCCTGCAGGGAAGATGTAACATACTTCAATGCTCCTCTCTTCACTCCCACACATTAAAACCAATTACAAATATGATTACAGATGGGATACAAAAATGCAGAGCTTGCTAATAATAACTTTATCAATCTAAAGATGGTATCTGCTGTTAGCATATGGGTTAAAAGGAGTTGAACGACATCTGTACTGAGAGAAATACTGCGGCCTTACATTCTTTTGAAAATGCCAGCTTCCTGGCTGTCTCTGTCCTCACTGCTTTCCAGAGTCACTGACCAGGAACATATATGCAGCTAGTGAGTCCCTGAACTTGTGAGCACCTGACCTGCATACTTGTTCTGCATCACGGACTTTGAAAGTATTGAAGCCTTTCGATCAAGAGCATTTTTTAAAAAAAGAGACCAGGAATGGCAGTGTACATAAAATATTACAGAATATTTAACCATAACTATAACAAAATACATATTGCAAATATATCACCATTGCAACCTAACAGTTAAATACTTCATTTGTTCTCTTTTTAACAGATATATAATATTTTCCCTTTTTTGGGCTTTCTTCCCGGTAACCACAAAACTGTTGTGAAAAATGTGGAGGAAATTTTTGAATTTGTTAGAAACACATTTATAAAACATCTAAAGAACTTAGATGAGAACGACCAGAGAAGCTTCATTGACGCATTTCTAGTGAGGCAAAAGGAGGTAAATGAATGTTTTACAAAATATATCAGCTATTGGTAATTAGCAAAGGATCCTTTCCAGCCAGATCTTTTGGATGTGTATACTTACCCTCACTCCAGCCTTTCTGTAAGCAAAGCAGGGGTAGAGGTGAGTGAAATGACAGTTGTACTTGTTTCTTCCAAACATCATTTTAGCTGAAGTGGACAATCTGCACTGAACTCAGATTAACTGATTGGTTAGAAAAATTTTAGACTGATTAAAAGAAATAGAAAGAAAGATAGGCAAAAAAAAATGTTTTTCTTTGTTTAAAGGAGTGAGAGGTTAGGCCCTTTATAATGTTTTATTGCTGTCTTTGTCGCCATTGGGGAGATTCACTGCTCTATTTGAATTAGTGGCCATTGTCACAAACAAAGACAGTGATGGGAAATCAAAAATTTTAGAGTTGTCCTGAGAACAAAAAATTAGGGGGAAAGCATCGATTGGGAGCACCTGTTCCTGGGACAAACGCCTAAGACGGGAATTCCATTGACTTTTGGGGATTCCCTCTAATTTCTTGTTGTGTCTCTGGGACAGGAAATTAAGGGAAGTTTCCCCAATATTAAATGGAGAGCAAAACATATATAGTATGGATTTTAACACTTCCCTACAGTATCCAAAAATGAAAACAAAAAGGACTTGATTTCTTGGTTCACTTACCATAAAATTAATATATGCACATCTCCCGAGCAGCCTTTCTTTAGTGCACTATTTAGCATATATTTGATGGTTGTATATGGATGGATTATATTTTTTCAATTAATCCTTGCTTTTTTAAGTGTACGTTACAGTTGACAAATATTTTTGCAAATTGTGTGAAAAACACACTATTGCTATATGTTTTATTTTGTAAAATGTTCTTAAAAATGTTGAAAGTGAAAAAGTCGTGACCAGGGGCGGACTGACCATTTAGAAACTCGGGCACTGCCCGAGGGCCCGGGGTCAGTAGGGGGCCCCATGAGATGCCCTTGATACCTTTTTCATAGGCTTTTTTGAGTTTGGGCAAGGACACAGGGGCCTCATGATCCCCTGTTGCCCGGGGCCCCATGAGTTGTCAGTCCGCCCCTGGTCGTGACCATACATACACTAAGGGTAACTCCACTTTTGTTGAAAAAAATATAGTGAATCAAAAATAATACAGCATATAAAACTGCTATACAAGCAATGTTGTAATGTAATCTTACTGAAAATTACCTTTCCATATCAATCTCCAGCGATGTAGTAAAATTCAAAGCAGTATGGAAACCTGGACGCCTTCTGTATGCCATTTGTGCACAGAACACCTCCAAAAATATCATGTGCTGCTTGTGTGATTGGCTTATCAATTTTCCCAGAAGATACAAGTCAGATTTTAGACATCCTCTGTAACAAAAATGCCCTTTCTGGTGAGATATTCTGTGAGGTTTAATTATCTCTGAAGGGAGAGTCTCTGCACCTTTTCCTATCAAAACACTGAGCGTGCACCAGCTGACTATAATGAACACAGACCCTCCCATCAGAATCAGTATCCAAAGGACATGGTCAAACAGCTAAATCTGCAGAGCAGAAACAGGTAGGAATCTGCAACAACATTTGTTAAAATCCTTGCAGTGTACACTGATCTCCCAGAGAGGATTGTTTTTTTTGTCAACAAAAGTGAAGTTACTCTTTAGGTTGGTCATCATGCAGTCTGTATTAGTCTTTGACTTGAAGTTGAAAATCATACTCTATACTCACTGCACTGAGAGTCTAGTGTTTTAGACTGTACACTGCTAGAGGGCGGCATGGGTGCACAAAATCACGTATATATATGTGATTTTGCATTTCCGGGTAGGGGGCACACCCTACCCACACCACCATTTGTGGCCACAGCTGTCAATCACTGGGTCCCAACCTGTGATTACTCGCCAGCACCCAGTGAATGTCGAGGATTTCCGACGGGGGGAGGGAGAGAGCTGTTCTCCTCCCTGTCAGATCATGCACACTGCTTTAAATAGCTGTGTACAGCACAGCCATGCAAAGCAGTGTGCTTACAGTGAAGCACACAGACATAGCCCCATAGTAAAACACACCCAGCACACAGTTAACTCTTTGATCACCCCACATGTTAACCCCTTCCTGCCCAGTGCCAGTGTTGGTGCTTTATATTAGCACTGATCATTGTATTGGTGTCACTGGGGATGTCAGTGGCACCAAGTCAGTTCTCCCCAGTGTCAGAATGTCCACCGCAGTCCTGCAATCCCACTATAAGTCCCTGATCGCCGCCATTACTAGTAAAAAGTAAAACAAAAATTCCAGTATATATACTGCCATTTGTAAATGCTATAACTAAACCAATTAATTTACACATATTGAGATTTTTTTTTCTACCAAAGACATTATTATTATTATTATTATACAGTATTTATATAGCGCCAAAGGGTATGCTCAGCGCTGTACAGTAGCAAGGGGGACAGAACATGAGACAAGACAGTAACAATACACTACATGAGGGGTTCGAGGGCCCTGCTCTTTCGAGCTTACAATCTAGGACATGTGGCAGAATACATTTTGTCCTAAATTTATGATGAAATTTTATTTATTTTTTTTTTTTTTACTGGACATGTTTAGTAGCAAAAAGTAAAAAATATTGTTGTTTTCTCAAAATTGTCGGTCTTTTTTTTTATAGTGCAAAAAAATAAAAAACGCACAGGCGGTCAAATACCACCAAAAGAAATCTCAATACTTTGGGGAAAAAAAGGATGTGAATTTAATTTGGGTGCTGCATGACTGCGCAATTGCCAGTTAAAGTAATGCAGCGCCGTAATGCAAAAAATGGCCTGGTCAGGAAGGGGGGTAAATCCTCTGGAGGTCAAGTGGTTAAAGGACATGGTGCTAAGGCCTTGACACAAGATCATAACAAAGCAGACTGAAAATTGACCATTTTAGCACCATTGTATCAACATGAACATACTACAGAACAGTATTTCACCATCAAGTATCTGGTTTCCAAGGCAAATATTCTCTGCTATCTGTGTTTAAAACTGTCATTTGCAGGAGGATGGGAGCCCTCATTCATTCTTCCATAATGAAAATCTAACAAGACTGGTAAGAAATTTATTTGTTGCGGGAATGGAGACCACATCAACTACGCTGCGCTGGGGTATGCTGCTAATGATGAAATACCCAGAGATACAAGGTATTATACATCCTAAAGCAAATACATACAGTCATTTGCCAATAATGCACAAACAAGTTTGCTTTATCTGAGGCACAATAGGTAGGCTTTACTCACCTTTCCTGTCCTCTTCCAACTGCTCTGCCACTAGTGTCCTGTACAAAGAAAGCATCAGTGCTGTCACACAGGGGTAGGGCTCCCACAAGTCTTTGATGATGGGATCCAACTATACTAATGTACACTATGTAATTTATAATTGAATCAGATTATTAGACATACTTGGTAAGCCTACAGCGTGCTCTGCACTGCTGCATGGCTGCATTTCACTCGGCTTTCAAAATCTGTTAACCTCCCTGGCGGTATGATTATTTCAGATTTTTGGTGCTGAAAGCGGTACCATTTTTTTGCATGGAAATATGTATTTTTTTTTATTGTAGGCTGTAATTTTTAGGAAAAACTCACTGAAATCTGTCCGAACAAGAGTCTAGTAAATATCCCGGGTATGATAAAATTTGAAACACAAAATCATAAATTATAATTTAATAAATAATCATAAAAATAATATAAAAATAATAAAAAATTTAATTCAATAATATAATCAAACCAAAAACACTGAAATGTGAAATATAGCGCCAAGTTCGCACATCGCTGAGCTCAGTCGCAAAATCGTTTTCAGTGTCTGATGACGAATTTCCCCCCCGAATCATTATCACTCAATTCTGCAAGTGGTTCTGATTTACTATTGCTGTTCTCTAGCTGATCTAAACCGCTTTTGACCTAAAGGGACACTTTTTGGACGCCATGGACATTTCTCAGTTTCCAGGCAGAAAGAACAGACAAAATGCAGGCAGGGCGCAGGACAAAGCACTAGGGACAATATGTATGTGAAATTGGTTGAGACAGCAATGTTTTACTATGTAGAATGTAAAAAAAAAAAAATGACATTTTTTAAAATTTTTAAATTCCCCCGCCGCAGCGGCGGCGGCGCCCGTACGTCCCGACGTCACAGGGACAGGACACAGAAGCCGGATGCCGGCATCGGCCAGAGGAGATGGCCGGGGACGCTGCAGGGGACACATCGTGGGAGCGCAGGGTAAGGTAAGTGAAGAACACGTGCCGGAGCAGCGCCGCAGGGTAAGCCCGAGTGTAGCTTGGGGTTACCGCTTTTGGTACTGAAATGTTACCCCGAGCTACACTCGGAAATACCGCCAGGGAGGTTAAAGGATATACAAGGGCAAAATCCAAACTTAGGCCCCATGTACACAGGACACCTCTGAATGATGGAAACTGACTGCTGGAAATGTAGGTTAAAAAACATCTGTTTAGCTGCATTTGCATAACGCGTTTATGTGCGTCTATGTGCGTTTGCGTTTAGAAGCGTTTTTTAAAGATAAGCACCCGAGAACCTCCCAAATGCCCAGAACGCACTGAAAAGTGGTAAATTATTAACTATTTCAGACTTCAGAGAAATACAGAGAGCAGGAGCAGAAGCAGAGACAGCAGTATGTGTTGAGATTAGCTTAGGTGTGAGTTGCTCATTAACATTTCTTTTGTTTCCAAGGGTGGGAAAGGTGTCTGGTGGAGTGAGTCATTAAGGTCACCTGGCAGGGGGTTTTCATGAGGAATTTGAGGTGTGAATGGGCATTAACATATCTTTTTTTTCCAAGGGTGGGAGAGGTCTGAGGTGTGAATTGGTCATTACAATGTGTGACAAGCTTGGTAGGAACATCCTGTGTTCAGTGTTTTGTCCATCTGAGTACCTTGAAAATGCTTTGCATGCATTTTTCATGATGCAAAAAGGCTCTGGACAGCATTGGGAACTGAAAGAGTTAAAAAAACTTTTCAAACGCAAACGCTTATAAACACGTTTTTAGCCGCATTTACAAGCATTTTGCATTTGAAACACTGATAAAATCGACTGCTGAATGCAAGTTTTCTGTGTTAAAAAAAACGACTGTAAACTCAAATGCCTCTAAATGGCTGTAAATGAAGATGTGTACATGAACATATAGGAATACATTAGGGTGAGTTCAGGAGCTGCTGAAAAGTACGCTGAACAGCTCCTAAACGTGAGTTTATCAGCTGCAGTGTACATGAGTCCTTAAACATGAAAATTTCCCCATGCTCATCTTTTTAGAAATGTTGAAAGTACAGAAAAATGTCTTTAACTGCCAGAAATCCAGTGTGATTCTAACTTTCTGCTTGAGGTGACAACACATTGTCTCTGGTGCACTGAAATCCAAATCAATATGGGACCTTTGAGTTCCCTGCCTCTGCTGGTCTCATTGCAGTAATTGTGAATAGCAAGGGTTAGGAGTGTGTTATGAACTAGTGCAGGGGTTAGGAGTATGTTATCTGCAGCGGTATATTATGCAGATAGGGCATGGGTCAGAATTATGTTATGTACAGAATGCAAGAGTGTGGCGGGTGTTCTGTTGTCCACAAAGCTGAATTATTGAAGGACTTACAAAACAGCTTGAGATAACCTTGCAAAGTATTCTATGGGTATTTTTCATTATGCAAATATATATAGAAAACATCAATGGGTGAATTCTAGTTGTTTAATTACCGTTAGATAGTGTGAGTTCATGGCTGTGCCTGTACATCCACTGCTTCCTAAAAGACATCAATGGGACTGCCTGCATGGAACACCTGAGCATCCCATGCGGGTAGTCCCGTTGACATCTTCTCATGGGTGTACACTATAGTAAGTCTGTGTGAATGAGACCTTACAAAAATCTAGGTATTATAATTTCAAGAGACCATGGGATAGTGAGGAAGCCCCAGTTAAACATTTGAGATAACACAAGTATAATCTGTTCAAGACGAGCACAGGTTTTTTATCATAACATTTGGTGACCAAAGTAAGAGGAACAGAAAGAAAGAAATATATTATTTTAATCCCTTTACTTTTCCTTATTACCTCTAGAAAAGGTGCAACAAGAGATCTCCAAAGTTGTTGGGTTGGCACAACTCACCTACAGCCATCGGGTGCAGATGCCTTATACGAATGCTGTCATACATGAGATCCAGAGGTTTGCTGACATTGTGCCCCTCAATGTGCCTCATGAAACAACTAGAGATGTCACTTTTAGGGGATATTTTATCCCAAAGGTATCTATTTTCTATCTTGTAAAACTCTATTATGAGCTACGAATACATAGCACTAAATAGAAAAAGCTTTTTTTGATTGAGTTGAGATGTAAACAGTTCTCTCATTATAAATTACGGAACAGTTTTTACTTAGACCAGGTTTTTTTTTTTAAATAAACTATAATAGTAAGTACTTTCCATAGTATAATTTTTATCTAAAAGTTATTTTCTATTTATTATAGGAAACCTATATAATCCCTTTATTATCATCTGTATTGCGGGACAAGACACAGTTTGAAAAGCCTGATGAGTTCTACCCAAATCATTTTTTAGACTCCCGTGGGAATTTTATAAAAAAAGATGCCTTTATGCCATTCTCTGCAGGTTTGTATTCATCTCTTCTTCATCATCATAACTTGCCTCATCATAGCTGGAAATAGCTATTACCAATAGAAGTCAATCAGATCTTCATACACAAATCGTGTAAGTGAAGTCAAGGAGTATATTTAAAGCATGTCACTTGCCCATTAGGAGTGTCACAGCTTTCCTGATGCTATCAGGTAGGTAATTGACATCCATATTTCTGTGAATTAATATGATCCTAGAATCGATCATTCAATGCAACTAAACAAATTGAATAAATTAAATAAAAATAAATAATAATTAAATGATCGTTTTCAATGAATCAAATACATTTCTAACTGATATGCAAAGTAATGAATATTACCATGTTTGTTGCATTGTTCGATATTCTATTTAATGAGGAATTGTTTGTTTGCCATCACTCATTCACTCATTCCAAAATCAATCATAAATTGCATTACGGTTAAAACCTCCCCACTATTTAATACTCTCCCATCTCTAAACACTTACTGACTCCTGTCATTATTCTAGCGCTGTTTCAGCTGCAATGCCGCTTCTCAAACTTCCTGGTCTCACAAGAAAAACCGAGGGCAGCCATAGGCTCCTGCTGCTGTCAGTCAAACTCCTGTGAGTTGTGCGTGTCCATAGACACACACAGTGCTTACCAGAAATGCTGTGTTCATCCATAGACTCACACATCCCAGATCAGAAGCCTGCAAATACCAGCCATGCTGTGTACATCCATAGACACACACAGCCTAGATCAGGAGCAAGCATATACCAGCCATGTTGTGTTCATCCATAGACACATACATCCCAGCTCAGGAGCAAGCACGTATGGATGTACGCATGTATGGATACCTCTATAACACTTGGCTTGCTAAAGAGACACCTGGAGGAAGGAGGAGTTGACAACACTGGAGGGGGACTGCCAAAGAGGAGGTATGGGGTTGTTCTGTGCAATTTTGTTGCACAGAGCAGGTAAGTATAACATATTTTTAGTTTAAAAAAAATAATCTTTAGCATCACTTTAAGCTGATATTTATGGGTTGAAGCTTTCACAGGGCTTTTCCTTCTCCTTCCTGGTGAGCCAAACAGAGCAGCAGAAAAAGGATGACATTTAAATGAATACACTGCTTTACCCTGCTATGGCAAAGCACAGGTTCACTTTAAGTCCTAATAATATTGTTACCAGTATACATATATCTTAATCTTGCCTGATATAATCTGCATAGTTTTCAGAGAGGACCATTGAACTAGGTAAAATCATACTGTATAAACCTTTGAAAAGCCACTTAAAAACCCTGCAAATCCTGATAAATAAAGCTTTATTGGATTATTAAAAACTAAAAGTAAAGTTAGTTATACAGTATTAGCAATTTTAGATCATTGATACAATGAACATGTTGTATAGGGTTCCTCTCGTATAACATGCTCCTAAAAGCTAACAATGGACAAATAATGACCTGTGTTGGCTTGGCTTTCTGATAAACTGCTAAAGAGTATTTGATTCAAAATATTTTATTAGGTTTTAGAAATAAAAACAGAAACAAAATTAGAAGAACACAGTAACGCAGAGAAAATAAGTAGAGAGATACTTTAAGCAGTTATCACATTGACTCTATTCCTCACTTATGTAAACACTCTATGTCTCTCTCTTTCTCCTTTCAGGACGTAGAGCCTGCGCTGGAGAAAATTTGGCTAAAATGGAGCTTTTCATTTTTCTTTGCCGGTTTGCTGCAGAAGTTCACTTTTTGTTTTCCTCCTGGAGTCAGTGATTTAGATTTAATTCCAGATGTTGGATTTACCAATATGCCAAAACAACACAGCATCTGTGCTTATCCCCGGTTTTAAACTAAATGTAGAAAGCTTTAAAGAATAAGGATTGTTGATATAGATTCTGCACACTTCTTTAAACTTGCATTTCTCTAGAAATAGTAACTGTCATTTTGCACGCCTTGATTATTTTAATATTGGGATCTCCCTACCATGATTCCCAACTCTGGGAACTTTTGCTCACTCAAAAGTTTTGAGCACCCACCTTTTGTAGTCCAGCACCACCAGTCACATATTCCATCATAATAAAATCCAATGGGCAGAGTGGGAGTCCCTCATAATGGGCGCAGCAGGTGTGCAGACCCAGGAACTCAGTGCAGAGGTTTAGGCAGAAGATTCTCTGAGAGATATAAAGAAACTGTCATTTGATTTAACTCTTCAGTATTTTCATGTATACTGGTGAAGAATTCTAGGGAACCAAACATTCACCGGCAACTTTATTAGGTACACCTGTTCAATTTCTTGGTAACACTGGTCTGAGTATTTCAAAAACTGCTGATCTACTGAGATTTTCCCTCACAACCATCACTAGGGTTTACAGAGAATGGTCCAAAAAAGAGAAAATATCCAGTGAGCGTCAGTTGTGTGGATGAAAATGCCTTGTTGATGTCAGAGGAGAATAGGCAGACTGGTTCAAGATGACAGAAAGGCAGCAGTAACTCAAATAACCTCTTGTTACAACTAAGGTATGAAGAATACCATCTCTGAATGCACAACACTTCTAACCTTGAGGCAAATGGGCTACAGCAGCAGAAGACCACACTGGGTGCCACTCCTGTCAGCTAAGAACAGGAAACAGAGGCTGCAATTCACATAGGCTCACCAAGACTGGAAAAATGTTGCCTGGTCTGATAAGTGTCAATTTCCATAGAGATGGTTGTGTGTGAAAATTCCAGTAGATTAGCAGTTTTTGAAATACTCAGACCAGACCGTCTGGCACCAACAACCATGCCACGGTCAAATTCACCTAAATCCCATTTTTTTTCCCCATTCTGATGTGCGGTTTGAACTTCAGAAAATTGTTTTCACCATGTCTAGATGCCTAAATGCATTGAGTTGCTGCCATGTTATTGGCTGATTAGCAATTTGTGTTACCAAGCAATTGAACAGGTGTACCTAATAACGTGGCCAGTGAGTGCATATATGCAGGGCATCTTTTGTCAGAGAATAGTTACAAGTACTTGCACCCCCTTCCCTGGGTCACCCTTGTTTCTACCCCTCCCCGCCTCCCAGTACCCCTCTTGTAGAGAATATGGAAACAAGTATAATTTTGTGGTGATATTCTGTATTTGTCAAAGGCACCCTGGAATAAAGGATCTAGAGTTTTCCAATTATTGTTTAATGCCTTTTCAGATTTTAAGGCTCTAGGTAAATGAATGTTCCAGATTGGATCAAGTCTACTTTAATAGTTATTTTCATTTAGCATTGTGCACGTGGTATTGTGATTGAGTGCAAAGGGCAATGTTTCATTTATCCATTTTGTCTAAGACTGGGCACTTTAAGTTTGAACCTATTAATAGAAGAACATAGTACAGTCAGACAAAATATTATAGCAAGACAAAAAAATAATGTCAGTTAAAAAGATGTCACATAACGAATGACGGCCTGGAGATCATGTCTGTGTAATTGGTGGCCACGAGGCCCCAAGAAGATTCTATGCTAGTGTCACCACTGGAGCAGACCTACATTCCAACCTCTTGTTTTGTAGCTGATGTGCACTAGAAAAAGTTCTGTGTCATACTTCTGGTGGCTGTCCTAGCCACTTCTAGTCAACGAGCTGTAGAAGCAGGAGCAAATAAGTGTTATCTATCCAGGGGGCTAGGAGAGTCCCATAAGGGGGATCCCCTCTTGTATCCACAAGACCCCTTTAAGTGCAGCCACTAGAACTTTAAGAACACCAGGACAGTATTTGCAAGGTTCCCACTTATTGGAGTCTCATAATCTCCTTTACCCAGGTGTTGCTACAGCATTGGGATATAATGGAAGCAAAGCAAGGACACAATTCTAAAATACGGTTTCACACCTAATACCACAATCCTAATGAAATATTTGTAAATATTGTCTTATTGGATGCACCTGATGATTCCAAAGTTCCACAAAAAATGGGCAGTGTGGTCTCATGACCCTAGAAGTCGCACTCTTTCTTAAACTTCCCACACATGATTTCAGTCAATATCTGTTAGACAAGTCATTATTCCAAGATGGTGTCCTGCCCTGTAGTGGGGGACATCTCAAGCCATTGCTGTTCTTTCAATTAAGTGCCTTTATGAATGTATCTTTTGCTCTAGAGGTATTGGGGGCTATGGTTATCCCTGGCCCTCTTTCCTCTTCTTTGTATGATATACTTAAATGTCCTCAATGTATTGGAAACTCATATGCAACTAGTTGGTAGAGGAATGTTCCTCACCTCTGTCTTTAAAATATCATGTAAACCTGAAAAATCTTAATAAAACTAAGTGAAAAACAAATATTGTCTTATTGGCATTGGTTTATTCTCATTCTACAAAACAAGTGTCATGTTCGTGAAACACAACTTCACTGAAAAAAAGGCTCCAAACCAATCTGTCCACCTAACTTAATAACTGCTCTCTGGAAGTCTCCTTCAGTGTATTCATCTCCAAATATCCTCTATTCTGGCTGCACCTGTGCAGTAACTATCTATATACTTGTATGGAGCTGTGACCCTACACTAGAGAAGCTAGGGGCATGAAGCCATTTACAACTATGTAAGGTTACCACACGTGCATAGCTAGTGGTGAAGATTTTTGGTCACATGACTTGAACACTAAAAGAGGCCACTGCTTCCAAAGAGATAAGTAAACATCTGGGTTGGGGGGAGGGGGGTGTAGGTCTGATTAAATCAGGAGGATAGGGAGAGTTGTCTTTCTTAAGTGAAGTTGACCTTTAATCAATGTTAATTCAGTTTATATAACATATACTATATTTATGAATAAATCTGCTTGTATAGTCCAACCCACCCTTGGATTATGCTATGTATCAGCTCTCCTCTGGAAGATGCGGCCTCTCACAAGGTGAAGTGCACATTAACTTTCCTTGCCATTACTATAAACCTCAATGGGATATGGATGTTCTGCGTTGCAGGATGGTATGTATTGTCAGCATATGAATATATGTTCTTAGATGGTATATCCAGATATAATTTATGTACTAGTGCTAGTCCCTCTTTGTTGTGCCTCCTTGTTGATCCATCTGGACAGCCTTTGTACTTAACTGGCAGACTATTTTGAAAATGGTGACTTTTAATACTCCAGCATGCTTAGTAAATTTCATAGAATTCATATGTATATCAAGAAGCAGAACTTGATTCAAGAAACATGAAGAGTTAATGGCTAGTCCCACCCTCAGCTGATTTGCTACATATGTTAGTCTTTACCATTTGATGTACATTACATTTTCTGTATGAACATATGGTTCTCCATGCTGGGAGTTCAACAAACCCTCGGGAAGAGTTCTAGCTTTTTGATGCTATATCTCAACGTGCTATATTTTTATTTTTACATCTTAATCACTTATGAATGCTGCTACTAGACTCATACACCTTACCAACCGATCAGCGATCCCTTCACTGGCTTCCATTAACCCAACGCAAAAAATACTAACCACAGCTTACAAAGCCAGCCACAACACTGCCCCTAGCTACATTGCCAACCTCAACCGCAGATATCTCCCAAATCGCCCACTCCGCTCCTCCCAAGATATCTTCCTCTCCAGCTCCCTCGTCACCTCCTCCCCCACGCTCGCCTCCAGGACTTCTCCAGAGCCTCCCTCATCCTCTGGAACTCCCTACCACATTATGTCCTGTCAGCCCCCACCCTGTATTCCTTTAGGCGATCTTTGAAAACTCACTTATTCAGGGAAGCCTACCCCACCTCCACCTAAGAACTGTACTTGAATCACCTCCACCAGATCAACCCCCGCAGCTATCACCTTTTGTATCACCTCCTCCTTCCTTTGGATTGTAAGCTCCATGAGCAGGGCCCTCATATTCCTCCTGTACTGAAATGTATTGTAATTGTACCTTCTCCCTTATATTGTAAAGCGCTGCACAAACTGTTGGCGCTGTATAAATCCTGTATAATAATAATAATGTATAAATCTATAAAATAATTTGATTTTATATACTTTTGCATGGGTGCCATAAACATCTATCTGGTTTATTTTTTGTTTATTTTTCAGTGTTCCAACTGATCATAGTAGCAGTACGCTTCTGCTGCTTGACCTTGGCATAAACATTGTAAATAGCATTCAACCAAGCTGACCAGCTTAAGCTCAGTTTATTTAACAAGACTCTTCACTCAGAAAGTGTTTGACAAGGGTGAAAACTTTCTGATCTTTTAGCATAAGTCTAAAACCCAAAAGTTTTGCTGTGCTGAAATGGCCTAAAAATGTTCATCTCTTCTGATCTCCCAGACCATAGAGATGATTAAAGACATCAGAATCCAGGCTTCCCAATCGCATGGTAGAGCCCAGATAGGTACCATCGGGCAGCAGGAGAAGGGGGACAACACCTCCCATTGCCTGTAAAAGTGATGCAGCGGCTAATCAGCCACTCCGATCACTTTTAAAGATGTAGGGAATTTCCGGCTGATAATGTTAATAACAAGGTTATGGCTGACAGCTGCAGCCATGGCCCCTGTATAACACTTGAACACAATCACGTGTATATACTGTATATGTGATTGTGTGGCAAGTGGTTAAAAATACTTTCCACCTTTAAAAACTTAAATAAAGCCTGACATTTGACTATTCATTTAAAAAAAATATACCCATAAGGTTAGATATGAATTTAAGGTATTTTATTCATGAGATTTACCTGTAAAAGCCTCCCTTACGTAAGCACCCAAAAACCCTGAGACTGGTGCTGGGCACCGCTATCTTGGATGTGATATTAGCAGCCTCAGCAGACTTAGAACTGGCCTAA